TCCTCGTTCGAGATCGATAATTACAGCAATCTATCCCCGTCATGACGAACCCCTTTCCGTCCCCCGCTTCTTCTTCTTCTTCTCCTTCTTCTTCATCTTCTTCATCTTCTTCATCTTTTTCATCTTCTTCTTCTTCTTCTTCTTCTTCTTCTTCTCCTCCCTCTTCTATTTCTTCTTCTTCTACTACTACTATTAATACTAACACTACTACTGTTATTGTCACCACCGCGCGCCGTCGTCGACTTTCCTCCGCGCTGCCCATTTCCTTCCTTTGCACCGCGCTCTCTCCCCTTTCCGCGCGGCCTTACTCCTCCGCGGCTCGCTTTCGCTCGCTGTTACCGCCGTCGCGATGTGCTCCCTGCCCGGCGGTCACCGTAGGAGAGAGCAGTACTTTCCATTTGTCGGGAGCAAGTCATCCTTTCCATATGAGTGAATCTACCTCAATTTGAGCGTTAGATTCATCAAATCGAAACCACTACGGAATGAAAGCAAATAAACCAAAACAAAAAATAAAAGAAATCTAGCAAAATAAATGAATAAAGAAATAAATAAAAATAATAAAATAAAAAGGAATCTAACTACTAGCTATCCCGTTGTGCCAGCTGTCACAATGGGGTCTAACTGCTGCTAACCCTGATCTCGAGGTCACGGGTTCGAGCCCCGGCTACCGAAATCGGGTGCGAACGAAAGAAGAGCCCCCTCACTACAAAAGAAAGCCAGCTCAATGGCTAGTAGGTCTTGATCCCCGGATCCCCTGTATATCAAACAACGCCTAGACCTACTGAGCTAGCTCCCACTTCAAGTAGAAGGGGAGCTGCTCTGATATATATAGAATAGTGGCTCGGCCCGACTAGTGGTCAGAGCCTGTCTTCTAGGTCTGTGTGTGCACACTCTTGCTGGGCTGCTTGCCTATCTGAGTGCTTGCCGACTTGAGTGTGTGCTCAGCCCACAAGGGCACTTGATTGTTCCGAAGGCTCCAAGGCCAGCACTTACCTGTTGTCGTGATATCGAGGGTCGTGGTGGGGAAAGTACTCAAGTGTCGGGTCTGTCGGTATTACCTAAATAGTGGTAGACGCGTGGGGAACCGTTCGCCGAGCAGAAGAAGACAAAAATTAGCACTTTTGGAGGCCCGGTAGCGATAGGTAGGCAGGCACCAGTCAAAGTAGCCTGAGTCTAACGCCCGTACGAATGAAATCGGAGTCCGTAATGATGTTTTCCTCCTAAAGGGAGGAGACACCGGTTGCTCGCGTGGTTGAGCGGCTAAAAAGTTGTCCAAGAGGGATGTGTCTCATTTCACATGTGAGGTTGAGTGAGGGTCTCACCCTCACTTTTGGTATATGAGTAATGGACGGAAGGTACCCCTTCGAGCATGTGCTAACAATCAGGGCGCTACGACAAGCCGATGATCACACCGTTCTTAATTGCTCTGGCCGTACGGTCGGGGCGTATATTAATTTATTCTGACTAATGTACTGACGATTAAGTCTCTATGTGTGTCATAGATCTTACTGACACAATATTAACCCAACTGAACCCTCGACCTCTTCTGTCGAGGGGTATTACTACTGATTCTAGTCATTACGGCGCACGTCATAACAACGCGTGCGCATACTTAACGAAATTTTCTCACCGATTTTTGCCCTGGCCTCAGGGGCTGAGGAATTCGTTTCGAGTGTCACGCTCAAGCGTGCATACCCTTTCCATTTCCAGACTTGCTCCGTCATGGTAGCCGACGCCGTCACTGTGTCGAATGCAAAAGCATGGCCAAATACCCTTGTAAGGGTATTTGGTCCGACAACGGGCCGCGAACGGCCCAAATCGCAGGCCGATCAGAAAACTTTCTGATCGGTCTGCGATCTGGGCCGTCCGCGACGCGTTACCGGCCTGCGATTCAGGCCGTGCGATAAGAAATAGCGATTTTTATAGTAGTGTAGAAGAGGAGGGGCGGAGCAAGAGGAGAATGCAAGCACCGACTGACCTTGGCGCATCACGGTGCAATTGCGACGAAGGGACAGGGCGTAGCGCGAAGTGCAGCGCAGGCGGGGGACACCGGGCAATGGCAGGTCGCTGTGCCTCCCTGACTACCCCTGCCCCTACGAACATCAGCCTAGGCAGGGATCCAGCTGACGGGGAACAGCCTGATAACCTCGGGAAAGGCGGCAGGTTGGAGCCAGTGACACTGGACTAGCCCACGGACACCGACACTCCGAGTCTCCTCCCACCCCCCCAATGTCTGTGTATGAGCTTTACCCCCCCCCTCGCAATCGAGTCAAAGAGTGCTCTGGTTGGAGCCGCCCGCTGTCATTTCCATTTCGAAGAGGGATCTATTGTCGGGAAGGCAGTTAGGATCCCCTTCTTGAGACAACATAAAAGCAACACAGATTACAACATAAAACCCCTTCTTGAGGCGGTTAGGGAGAAGTTCAACATGTATCGCGGCGGCTCGGCATGACTTGGTGCACAGGGAAATAATGTATCACAAGTTCGCTAGTACGGACCATTTGCAACGAAAAGCCCAATTCTGTAATGGCTCAAAGGCCCGCACTAGCAAAGTCCCACACTGACAAGCATGTTGTTGGACGACAGTAAAGCGCGCGCTGGATAAATGTTGAAAACAAGTTGAAAATATGATGGCGATGTTAACAACTAGTTGGCACCATTGTTGAACATATGTCAAATGCCGATACAAACAGTTGACGGGAACCCTTCTCCATACTCAAATGTTGATTTCAACATTCTAGAAGTTGAAAAACGGAAGGAATTTTCGCACATCCTTTCTGTTGACACTGATCTCTGTCCAACTAGTATAAGTCTCCAATCTGAAGAAGAAGAAGAAGAAGAAGAAGAAGAAGAAGATGATGAAGTCTGAAGAGAAGAAGAAGAAGAAGAACGGAGCCGAGGAGGAGAGAGAGAGAGAGAGGGGACTGGCGAGGGGAGGGAGGAGAGAGGCCTCCGACTCCCGATACCTCAGGCGGCTATGGCCGTCGGTACACTCAGTCGCCGCTACTGCTGCGCTACTGCTGCGCTGCCTGGCTCCTTGCTGCTCCTGCGCTAAACTTAGCGCCAACGCTGTTTCGCGTTGTACCATACCGTACCGGTAGAATGTCGGTAGGTCGATAGCCTCAATGAGGTTGGACCGGTACTTTTGTATCGGTGGGGCAGAGGCCGGCCTCAATGCTGCAAGGCCTGGCCGTGCCCTGAACTGTCAAGATGGACGGTTCAGCCCCAACTGGCGGGCGACAGCCTCAAGAGCGCCGCCAGGCCCAAACGGTAATGTTGTTTGGGCTTGCCCGTCGGGTCTGGTCCAAGGTAAGGCCTTTACGGCCTGTAGTACCTCCAAGGTTAGGCCTTTAGGCCCTAGTATGTCCCTCTAACCCTAAGTCGGGTCCGGTAGGACCCGTGTGGCGTCGAAGATGTAACACACTCCCCCTCTTAAAAGACCGAGCTACCTGCGAGGGCGAAGTTGTCTGTCCGATACCGGGGTGGGTCGGGCGGGACTCGATGTCCACCATGATGTAACTCGATAGGTGTGACGCAGATCGCTGGGTGCACCAAAGTGTTATAGGCGAACTTGATGTCGGGAAGCCGGTCAACCCAATCTTTCTGGTCGGGATAGATGAGCGTACGCAACATCATCTGAGCGGTCTGGTGCGCTCGCTCCGTCTGGCCATCCGTCTGCGGGTGCCGAGCCGAGCTCGGCTTCATTGTCGTACCGGACTCAGCCATGAGGGAAGTCCAAAAGGCCGACATGAAGCGAGTATCTCGGTCGCTCACTATGTCTTTCGGAACACCCTGGTTGGTAATCCAACCGGTGTGCAAGAGTCGTGCGAGTTAGGCGCTGCAGCATGATACGTGCAAGGAAGGAAGCGAGCATACTTGCTCAAACGGTCAACGACCGTGAGAATACCGTCATGGTCGTGGCGATCACGGGGAAACGGGCCTGTCATGTCCATACCAATGGAGAGGCATGGTGCCCAAGGAATCGGCAATGGTTTCAGTTCGCCGAAGGGGACTCGAGATCGACCCTTGTTAAGGTGGCAAACTGCAAATGACTCAATGTACCTCGTGACGTCATGAAGGACGTCGGGCCAGTGAAAACGCTGGCGGAGGCGTGCTAATGTGCGGTTCATGCCAAGGTATGCCGAAAGTCGTGCGTCGTGGAATTCGCCCAGAAGACGAGTCCATAAGATGCGATCTTGGGGCACAACTAACGAGTTCTTTCCTCTCGTGTGAAGGAGAAGGAAACCGTCGGAAATCCGATAGTGGCTAGCCGGCTTGTGATCCGATGAAAGCTCCGCGTAAAGCATAGAGTAAGTCGGATCGGACTTGTAGCCTTTGACGAAATGCGGCTGCAGATCGTCATCGAGGTCGAATGCCGTGGTCACAATGGCACAAAAGTCGGGCCGTCGTGAGAGGGCGTCCGCAGCTCGATTGGCGGGACCGGGAATGTGGCACAGGTCAAAGTCGAACTGGTCGATGTAATACATCCATCGACCGATCGTGCTAGTAACCGTATCCTGCATTTTGTAAAAGGTCAACGGATTGTTGTCCGTATTCCATTTAAAACGCCGACGGGCGAGAAGAAAGTGGCGCCACCGTTTGAGAATGGTGACAAACGCGAGTAGCTCTTTCTTCCTAACGTCGTCGAGAGTGTTTACGAGAGGCACCTTTTGGGAGAAGTACTCGACCGGATGCCAACCGTCCTCGTGACACGGTTCCAACACCGCACCAATACCGTATCCCGAAGCGTCCAAGGTCACTTGGGTGGGAAGGGTGGGGTTATATATACGGAGGGCAGGTGCGGCTTGCATTGTTGCCTTCAACGTAGTGAACGCGTCACGGGCTGCGTCGTCGAACTCGACGGGCACCTTCGGGGACTGAAGTCTCGATAAAGGAGCAGCCACTTTCGAGTATGACTCGACGAATCGCTGATAATATCCAGCCAAACCCATGAAAGAGCGTACATCCGTCATGCAACGGGGTTCCGACCAATCCACGATGGCTTGGATCTTGTCCGCTAAGGGACAAATGCCTTTCGGCGTGAGAAAAGGACCCAAGTACTAAGGCTCTAGCTTGGCGAATTCGCACTTCTCGAGATTCACTTTGTACTTGGCTAGTCGCAAACGATCCAGAACAACGCGAAGGTGTTCGACGTGCTCGTCCAACGTCCTACTGTAAACCAAGATGTCATCAAGGTCGATGAGGACGCTGCGATCAAGCAAGTCGCGAAACTCATTCGTCATCGCTACTTGGAAAGTCGCGGGGGCATTGGTGAGGCCAAAGGGCATGACAACCCACTCAAAATGCCCGTACCGCGTCTTGAACGCGGTCTTGTACCGGTCTTGAGGCTGGATTTCAATCTGGTGGTAAGCTAACTTCAAGTCCAACTTCGAGAAGTACGTCGCGCCGCCTAACCGCTCAAGAAGATCATCAATCCGAGGGAGAGGGACGACGTTCTTTACGGTTTGTGCACTAAGTTTTCGATAATCGATGCATAACCGTAAATCTTTGTTCTTCTTCCGGACGAAGAGAACAGGGGCACCGTATGGCGAGCAACTAGGGCGAATCCAACCCTTGTCGAGAAGGTCATCGAGTTGTGCGCGAAGCACCTCGAGTTCCTCTTCGCTCATGCGGTAGATACATACACGTGGAGTAACGGCGCCAGCATCGAGAGTGATCCCGTGACGTATGGGCGGATCCGGAACCGTTCCGGTGGGAGCCTCGAAGACGTCTCTATACTCGTCCAAGAGGTGAGAAATGCGTGGGTCCRACGGTGACGCGGCTGGTCCGTCCGGCGAGGGGAGAGCATGCAAGAATACAAGGCTCATCTCCTCGATGTCATTCCGAGCAATGGCGTCGCGAATTCTCGCAACGGAAACCACGTGGCAAGCAATCGAAGTGTGAGGGGTCGCAACTGTACATGGGACTAACACTCCATTCCGATCACGGATGTGAACGGTTCGGTCATGAAAGTTCACCGGATGATCGGCGCTACGCGACCAAGACATGCCTAGAATCATGTCGAACTTTGTGTCGAGGATGTCAAAAGACACCGGCTCGCATGCAAGTGGCGCAAAGTATACCGGAACGCCATCGACGCATCGGTCAATTGACTTTTGCGTGCGGCCGTCCGCGAGTGTGACTTGCATGGGTTGCGTCTTCCTTCGAACGTGCGGGCCAAGGCCTGCGCGGGCCATAAAGGCTTGGCTCATAAAGTTGCGAGACGCTCCGCATTTAATCAAGGCACTACAAGTTGCCTTTCCGATTTGAATGCGGATATAGAGCAAAGGCGCGTCGGTTTCAACGTACTATTAGGTGGCGTACTCGCGGTCAATCTTCGCAAGATAGGAGCGGAGATGGACAACCGCTACTCCATCGTCCGTCAACGGAGATGGTACTGTAGTGTGCAAATAGGAGCGTAGATGTGTTATCAAGGCATTGCAATGCGGCCTTGGCGAGGTTCCGGTCGAGGGTAGAGGTATCCAAGCGAAGTCCTCTCTCGTGAGCGAGTCAAGCTCCTCAAGTCTTGACCACGCCGTCGAGTCATCGGAAGTCAGTGGCGAGCTGACCGGATCTCTTGCCGACGGTGTACAGGCTGCGTATACGCTAGCTAAATGCACGTGGTTCGGCTGGTCTAATGGTGGTACCAACTGGGCAGCATAATCCTCGTACGTAGCACGAGAATCAGCGACTAACGCATGCTCCCCGATAGTGACATCGATTCCTAGCAAGGCAACCGGGTCCGGCGGAGTGAGGAGAGATGTCGCCTCTCTCCTTGCGTAACTCAGTTTCCCGAGTTAGCTGGACGGGGTACGCGTGCCTTGCCCTTCTCGGGGCATTGTGCGGTCACATGAGTGACACCATTGAACCATAGGCAATATCCGTACCGTTGACGTAGGTCATATACTTCGTTGGTTATCTTGTATGCCGTCCATGGCCGCTGCCCAGTTCCCGTCGATGCCGTCTCTTGTGTCGCCTTGTTCTTCCGAACTCTCTTGGGACGCTTTCGCGGGAGCGCTGCTACAATTCCTCCATCACTCGAGGATGCTGTTGCAGCGTGGAGATCGTCTGTTTCTTCAGAAATCACGGCATTGTTATGAGCCGCACGTTGATAGCCCTGCTTAGCCACATAATGCGGCTGGGATTGTTTCTCGTTAGCGGCCTTGTCGTCCGTTTGGATGACCAGGTTTGCGCGATCCAGGATAGCCTGGAACGAGGTATAGTCATACTCGTTACCGAGTGCTGACCGCAATCCTGCGCACGATCGCGAGAAGAACTCGGATCGTTGATTAGGAAAAGTCAAATCGAAGCCTGGCGTGGTCACTATCTTTTGCCACTTGGTTGTCCAGTCTCGAGTTGGCATACTCCCTTGCGAGCAGGTGTACACCTCGTTCATGGCCGCCTTCACGACGTTGCGGACCATGAACCGGGTGAACCATAGCTTCTCGAACTCTTTCCACGTGAGGTGCGTGCGGAGTTCGGCGATGGTGCATTTGTGGGTAGTCGCCAGAAGGTTCATCCATGCCTGCGCTCCTCCAATCAGTTGTAAGTAGAGCGCCTTCATCATGTCGTTGGCCGGGACAGTGCGGCATGATGCTTCCGTGAGGAAACGTTGCCACCATGCCAAAGCGTCCGTCTTGTTGTGGTCGTCGAACTTGCTGATGTCGAAGTGCGGCATCTTGTAATTCTTCGTGGCGGCGTCCGGTTTCGTCTGCAGCTTCGTGATGTCCGTCTTGGTGGCGGCCATCGTGCTACTGATCGTGTCTGGCCCATTGAAAACACCTATATCGCCGATGAGATTGATGACATGATGCATGCGCCCATTGAGCTGCTTCGTCATGTCTGTCATATCTGTCGTGCAGCCTGGCGCTGCTTGGGAGGCCTTGCCTCCAAGGTAGCGATGCGTGCATCTAGTTGTTTTAGCTGGTTGTTTGCGACCTTGACAGCTGCTGCAAGTATCTTCACGTTGTGGCTCAGATCGTGCTGCAGCTGCAGTGTGGACTGGGAATGCAGCTCCCCCATGGTGCTGTTCCAAATGACGGCGAGCATTGTATGGAGCAGAATATCTGCTAGGTCTTGCCTCTCCTGCTGTACTGTTGTCGGCTCGCTGCCGGGTACCGGGACATAACGCATCCCGTTGAGCACCGCTGTCCATTGTGCGTGGTTAACACTTACACGTTCAGCGCTGCCGGCGTTGAGCTGATCGATCGCCAACCGGTCTGCCTCGGCTTGACGCCGGGTTTGTGCTGCAGCTTCCTCTGCTAGCCGTAGTTTTTCGGCTGCGGCAGCCTCTTGCTGTTCCTTGATCTGGGTGAGTGCGGCTGTATAGTCCTGCATTCTCTGAATGAAGTCCGGGAGGGGCTCATTCGACCCCTGCACCGGACAGACCAGTAAAGGTTCGGCATTACTAGCTGTCGAACCCTCGGATGATGATCCGCTGTGTGGCGTATTCGCCATCTGAGTACTGGTCTGTGGCGGTTGTGGAACTGGAGGTTGCTGTTGCTGTTGGCGATCGGCGATCTGCTTGCTGCGTCGTGGCTGCTGTTCGGAGGCTGGCCCTGCTGGCATCAGGAACTGTTGCTGAAGGCTGGCTCGTCCGGAGGATCGCAGAACAGTGTGAGGGAGAGGGTGGGTACAGGGATAGAACAGATCAAGCCCTAAACATACAGTCCCTCTCCCAAGGATGGACTAAGACACCTTATCAAACAGAAAAAGTATTTTTTTCCGTAAACAATACGAAAATTCGTAATAAGAAGAAGAATAACGAATTATTTAATCAATAATTTTAATTAATGATTAATACGAAAGAATAATTCTTAATGATAATCAATCAACAATCTTTGCACCAATGATATCGTTACGATAATCAATTAAACAATATTTGCAATAATGATAATGACCGAATTTGAATTGTTAGCAAGATCAGGTATCCCTTGAGATCATTTTTGAGTCCGGGAGTTCACCGTTAATTAGTGAACAACCCGGAAGTTGCAATGCTGAGGGTCAGAGTCGGATTAGTTTGCCAAAAAAAATTCGGACAAAAATTAGGAGGAAAACACTTGAATTTCCCAAAAACGTGGAATTTCGGGAATTTCCACCGTCAAAATCCGATTTTTAAAGGCCTAAACCCGTTTTCGGAATTTCTCAAACAAGGGGAGCGAAAAAAAAATTCGCGAAAATTTCGGTCCCAACCCTAATTTTCCGCGTTTCGGCAGAATTTCCGGATTTACGGTCCCCAAAATGTTCAAATTCCGCAAGTTGATCTAAAACCAAAAAGATTTCGTAACCCTAATTTCCAATACTGAAAGACAACGGAAATACCAAAAGAGAACGAAATATAGGATTTACAACAGAATGCCGAAAACAGAATGCTGAATGGAAATCAGAATGCCGGATTTCAACAAGATACTGATTCAACCCTAATACGTTTTAACATCGGAAATCCGAATCTAACAGATTATTGGATTAGTATCAATCAATCGGAACCCAAATAAACAGCATACCGAAAGAAAACAGAAATCCGAATTATAAGTCTGAATACCGAATTGAAACGGCAATTCCGAAATAAATAGAATACCGAAAAAGAAAAAAAAATATTTTGCAACTTTGAACTCGATAGTAATTCAGAGCTGATTCGGATGATTGAAACAACAATCTACCTCCTAGTCAGACTTACCTGGTGAGCAGATCCGTGAAATGGTCTGCTCCGATACCAAAACTGTTACATACTTCGATGAGTATGGGCAGAACCAAAGATCAACCAATGTAGGATGAGCATATATGCAGCGGAAGTCTGATAAACGGACTGACTCACATAGACTGACTCACATAGAATCACTCCACACACATACAATCGTGAGATGGTGGGGTCTGGGCCAAGCATGGACGATGTCCAGATTCCGTACACACATACACAGATGGGAGGTGGCAGGAGAGACGAAGGAGGTGGGGGAGGTAGACAGCACCGGTAGGTCACCGAGGTAGAATCCGATAGGTCACCGATATGGTAGTCCAAAATGTCATCCAACAAGATCAAAATGCCGAGGACAATCAGTCGCCAATGTCGGAGATACAGAGTCCAAATGTAACCGGTGTCCGAACTGTGATGCCGCCAAGTATCAACCCCAACAATCTCCAAGTCTCCAATCCGGTAAGTACCACAGTCTCATACCACTGAAGTCCAACACTGATCTCTGTCCAACTAGTATAAGTCTCCAATCTGAAGAAGAAGAAGAAGAAGAAGAAGAAGAAGAAGAAGAAGAAGAAGAAGAAGAAGAAGAAGAAGAAGTCTGAAGAGAAGAAGAAGAAGAAGGAAGCCGAGGAGGAGAGAGAGAGAGAGAGGGAACTGGCAAGGGGAGGGAGGAGAGAGGCCTCCGACTCCCGATACCTCAGGCGGCTATGGCCGGCGGTACACTCAGTCGCCGCTGCTGCTGCTCGCTCGCTACTGCTGCGCTAATGCTGCGCTGCCTGGCTCCTCGCTGCTCCTGCGCTCAACTTAGCGCCAGCGCTGTTTCGCGCTGTACCATACCGTACTGGTAGAATGCTGGTAGGTCGATAGCCTCACTGAGACTGGACCGGTACTTTTGTACCGGTGGGGCAGAGGCCGGCCTCAATGCTGCGAGGCCTGGCCGTGCCCTGAACCGTCAAGATGGACGGTTCAGCCCCAACCGGCGGGCGGCAGCCTCAAGAGCGCCGCCAGGCCCAAACGGTAATGTCGTTTGGGCCTGCCCGTCGGGTCTGGTCCAAGGTAAGGCCTTTACGGCCTGTAGTACCTCCAAGGTCGGGCCTTTAGGCCCTAGTATGTCCCTCTAACCCTAAGTCGGGTCCGGTAGGACCCGTGTGGCATCGAAGATGTAACAGAAAGGATTCTCTTCGCAGAAAGCAAGTGGAGACAGGACCTCTTCCCCCATTTCTGATCAACAAGAACTTACTGACCCAAATAAGAGTCAAGCAGGTCATCAAACGAACGAAAACAGGGGAGAAGGAGGTTCATGTCCCTCTAATAGGAACCACCCCCCTGACGGATATCAAGATCGACCCTATGTCTTATGGATGGGTAAATGTACCGGAGGATCTCTCTACTGTGTACATTTCAGACTACTTGGCCTCTATGGGATACTGGCTACGCTCTAAAGCCAACGAACTCTGTGTCAAAGTGAAAGGGACTTGGGACAAAGCAGAAGAAGTACAGGAACTCCCCAGTTGCTCGCTGCAGTGGGCGAAGACATTTGGCAGAATCATCAAGAAATACCCAGTGGTGAAACACGCCAGCCTCGAATGGCTGATCATCCACCAGAGTGTACCAACTGGGAAATGGTGTGTGACTAAACGAATGAACGTCAGTTTTTTCTGCTCCTCCTGTTCGAACTACAATATTGAAGATCAGGCGCATATTTGGTGGGATTTTGACCTGGCCAGACAGTTCTGGGATTGGTGGCAATCAGTCTGGGACCAAGCCCACAAGGAAGGAGAGAGATTCATCTGGTCCAAAAACCTCATTCTGGGCACTCCAGATAGAGCCTTACCTACAGTGATCCAAGTAACCAGGTCATTGGGACTGTGGGTTCTTTGGAGAGAGAGAAATGAAGCAGGAACAGCGCCTACTCTTTGGAAAGAGCCAAAAGCTCCTTTCTGGAAGGGTTAAGCAGATTGGCGGAAGAAGAACAAGACCAATATACCCAGAGAGATCAGAGTGATCACATTTGCTAAGATATGGACCAAGAAACATTGCTGGGCCTTCCCTGACCTGAAAGGGAGATTGATCTTTTCCAGGTTATTGGATGCAAGAAGGACATGGGCACTGGAACCAGATTGAAGCCCTACATTCTCTCTTTTTGTACATATGTATAGATTCAATTGTGTAAATTTGTAAGTTAATTAATTTATTTAATTTTTAGACTTAGGCCTGGTATGTTCCAGGTAGTGTAAGTGTTACTTTGCACAGAATGATTCCGTGCTTTGTGGATGGGACGCTGGGCCCGGTTCCCAGCTAGATATCCTTGAGATTAATAAGGACGCTGGACCCGGTTTCCAGCATAGCCATTTCTGGGAGATGGCCCCAGATATCCGGGTTGAGATGTGGAGGGATTCCCGGCCTCTAATTCTTTATTTGCAATAAATAAGAAGTTAAGAAAAGAAAAAAAAAGAAAAAAGAATAGAGGTTTCGTTGCAGCTTTATCGGGTTCCCATCATAGTTTGCCAGCAAAAATTAAAATACGGCTTTTTGCCAAGTTTCACAACAAAGGACCCCAAGGACTCAGGGACTCAGCGTTGTTGTTGTTGTTTTTTGTTTTGTTTTTATTTTTATTTTTATTTTTTTCCGCGGGCGTGGCCGAGGCATCTCTGCCGTGGCCATGCCCGAAATGCCTTGGCCACGGGAGCGAAGAAAAAAAAGAAAAAAAAAGAACAAGAAACGTGGCCGAGGCATCTCGGGCGTGGCCACGGCCGAGATGCCTAGGCCATGCCCGCAGAAAAAACAACAACAACAACAACAACAACAACCCTGAGTGCCTGAGGCCAGAACGCTGCTGAGTCCCTGAGTCCCTGAGGCCAGAGGCAGAGGGGTCCTTTGCTGTGAAACTTGGCAAAAAGTGGTATTTTTATTTTTGCTGGCAAACTATGATGGGAACCCCATAAAGCTGCAACGAAACCTCTATTTTTGCAAAGGAAACTTCAAATGGACAACATCTTTGCTGCCAAACTTGGAAAACGCAATATTTTTGAAACTAGCCCATAAAAAAAATCCTGGCAGTCGAATCTTCTTTTGAACTGTGCCGCGCAAGCGCGGAAGCGCAGCCACTTGGGAGCGAGACTGGCGGGCGGGCAGGGCTTGAAGCGCACAGGACAAAAAGGATTGTGAATGGGCCTCGCCACACCTTTCTTGAAACGGGGAAATTTTTCAAGAGCTGTCAGACGTTCTCAAGAGTTGTGTTTTCAAGAGTTTTTTTGGCCCCATGTAGAGAGTAGTGGACGTGCACACTTCAACAAAAAGAAAGAAAGGAAAAAAAAAAAAGAAGAACAAGAGAGAGAGAGAGAGAGAGAGAGAGAGAGAGAGAGAGAGAGAGAGAGTGAATGAGCTCGAAAGAGCAAGAAGAAGGAGAAGGGT